GTTTCAGGATTCTCCTTTTGGCAGGCGACGGTCGATTTTCGCCACCTGACAACAGCAGATTCACATGTAACTGACGTACTTTCATTACAAAAGGATAGGAAAGAAATGTCAAGAATATTTTTGTGATTTCTCAGCTTCTACGCCATTATTCTACTTCAGATCTGTTTAAAAAAGAAAACCCAGCGTTTAAGACATTTCACTCTTGTTTGGTGTTATTTAACACTGAATTCTACTCACTTACACTACTCAGTGTGCTTTACAAACCGGTGGTGTTGAACCCTTGCAGGGGATTTCTTTTCATAGGGAGAGGGTAAAAAAACTCCAGCAAGGTGTTATACAATACTTTGCTTACACCTAATTGATGTTACTTAACACTAACTTGATTTAATTTTCTAATTAAACTTGGTTGGTGTCGTGTCAACACCAATATGGTCTATAATTAATCACACAACCATCATTCAAGAAATATGTAAAAGAGTTAAGATTGGTTAAGATAGTGGCGCGACCTGTCTCCATCTCATCTTGTAGTCTGAGTAATAACTAATGCATTCCTGGATTACTTTCGATAGACAGACTAATTAAAAATATCCTATCACACTAACTACCAGTAGAAGCTCAATGATGACAAACCTATATTTTTATACACCTGACAGAAATGTAGAAAATAACTATTGAGTTAAACGACGAAAGTAATTTGGCGTGTACCACTGTTTCTTCTTATCTTCCCAATGATACGCTTTTCATCGAAGAATAATTTTTTCCATAGGAGTTCAACTATTTTTCTACAAAAGGGCAGTACCAAAACGTCGTTAATGATAAGGGCCTTCGTTACTTTCCTGTTTGCAGCTGGAACAGAAATCAAAGCAGTACTTACCCTAATCATGTTAAAGACCACGGTAGCGAAAAAACACAAACAAAATAAAATTAGAGCTCCCTTTAACAATACCCACGCGCAAAACGGTTTCGTTTCACGGACGTTAGTGTAATTTAGAAGTAATACTAGCACCATCATAGAAAATAAATTTGGCATTTCAAGACCAATTTGAGCTTTGACTAATTTAGCTTCATATGGATAACAGTCGCTGATATCATTAGGATTATTATACTCGTTGATCGCGAGTGAAGCACCAATCACATAGAGTACATAAAATAATATCAGTGTCCAAAATTTTGGCAGACAAAGCAGATCTTTTAGAACTGTGCATATGGAGACTGAAAGGGATTTTTTCATTATTATCACAAAAATACAACAATTTACAGTTTCTATAACGCTTAGGGAGATAGCTGCTCTGAGGAAAGAATCTGGAAAGGTGGAGTTTTCGCTCTCCGAGTCATCATACGAAAGTGAAGGAAGAACAAATATTCCACATAATTGAAGAACAACCACCTCAGCTAACAACAATAAAAGGAAGCCAAATAATAACAAATGGTGACAGGAGAAAGGTTCACGGAGTCTGTGTCGGCGACTTGATGAATTTAGCGGAGTGTTCTCGTCGGCCTCTGTGCTGTTTGCTGTGTATTCGCCTGAAACAAATCCCATACTATAAAAGCCAACGTATTTCTGGAAAAGCTGAGAAAAGAAAACAGAAACAGCCACAAATTATGTGTTTGTGCTTTTACTAGAATGTGTCCCAATAAAGGTACAATCACAGTAGCGAACTAAAGTAAGGAACAGGAGTGCACGAACTGATCTGAGTTTTCAAGCGCGACTTTCCGACTAAAACCAACAGAAAATAAGTAAAACCCCTCCAGGGTCAACCGAATAACAGGTGGACGCCCAGCCCACCGCATCCAGTATCCGCGTGCAGTCTGGAAAGGGGCCGACAAGAGAGCCTTTTGCTGCTTTCGACGTTGTGGCTCATATAGTTTGACCGATTAAAGAACACCAGTAGAGATGGGGTGAAACGTTTATGAACTCTGGGTATAGAGTTTTTCTCTCAACTTAAAAGTATAACTTCTGCGTGAATGATCAGTGAACTGAAAAATTTGCTGAAATAGTGCAAACTTAAAGAAAACGTTACTACTATTAAAACAAGTTTGGGGGAGTAAAAAGACCTTACTTTGCATCAAAAATAGACTTTCTTCCTAACAAAATTATAAAGAAACCCCGGGATCCATAACGATAGTCTTATACTTTGATCTTAATACACTAAGACGAAATCAGTTGTAAAAGTCCTTGAATTCACCTTGTAATGGCGCCTTCAGTTTGCGATTCAACCTCAAGGACTGAGCTGAGGACGAGACAAAACATTTGAAAGGTAAGGAAAAATCTTTGCGTTCACTCGGGAGTTTGAAACTAAATTTGAGGGCAACAAGTCTGCAGTGTGCGAGTATTCTTCTCTGCAGCTGTTGTTTGGTTTTCATCATGCATAGCGTTTCTCGGCTTATTTTTGTCACGTTACCGTTGTATTACTCGCTAGATGATTACGTCATGTATTTTGAATCTCCCGGATGAACTCGTGCTCGGTTCTGTTCTAAGGAATAAATAGTCAGTATGGCCGCTAGCATGTTTTCCTTCTTTATTGACTCGCCCTAGCATATCATGGTGTCAGAAGTGGGATAGAATCCAGCCTCCGCTTATTACACCGAGCACGAGTTCAACCGGGAATTTCAGAATACATGACGTAATCATATAGCGAGTAATGCAACGGTAACGTGACATTTTCATCAGAGCGTAGATGCAGGACGGGACTGAGGAGTCTTACACCGAACATGTCACGCTATTTTACTATTTTTTTCTTAGAAAAGAGATCGTAAATGGAGGCATAATATCTCTTATCATAACCACCCGTCCGAGCCTCTCATTTAGTTTGAAAGGGTATTATGTTTATAATGGAAAATATAATGCGATGTTATTCAGGTGTCTGAATGCTTTAGATTGAAGACCCGCGATACATGATCATACACGATTGCGATAAGTGAATACTCGTCAGTATAAGATTATTGTAAACACCCAGTTGTTGTCGTTGCAAATACTGAGAGTGGAACATTAATTTCGACTGCTCCTTTTCCGGTGTTCTTAAGAATGTTAGCGATCATGTCTTTGGAAAATCATGCTTAGAGGAATCGTTCCTTCCTTGCTAATTTCCAGTGAGTAATCTCACGAATAAAGATGAACCAACGTCTTCCGCCTCACAACCTTGTATGGCGACTGCATCGAGGAACGGCGTTATATTACGAAAAGAATTATCGCTGGTAGGTAAGGAGGAACAAACATACTCACCGAAACGATCGAGTTAAATCTAGGACTTCCGCCAACAGCGTTCTAAAATGACATCACGTCGAACTTCACGAGTTAATTGACCGACTCACTTTCTGAGCCCGCAAACCGGATAAACTGATCAGCCCGAATAATTCAAAATTCTGAAAAGATTTTCGTCGCTTTCACACGAGCGTGGGACTAGCAAAAAATCAGAGCATTCCACGAAGAACCAAGCCCCACAGGCGTTCGGATTTCGTCCGCCTAAGATTCATCGAGCTACACAGATGATGAATTAGTTCATAAGGAAGGTCATATACGACACGCTTCGTAAACACTTGTAAATTCAGCTATCACTATTACTTTTAAAACTGCCTGTGATCTGTTCAACTCGGTTACCGAGTCAAACAGGCGCATTCCTTAAGGTTTCATCATGTTTAAGCTGGCTGACTTTTCCATTTAGTAAGCATTTCCAGCCCATTTGCCGTGATAAGCTGTAGGGATTGCCCACACCTGAACAGCCACATACGTGAACAAAGGGAAGGCTGGTGCGGCGAGATATTTGAAAATGAGTCAGCTAGGTCAGTCGATCAGTTACAGACGCAGGGATTCCACTCTGATGCTAGTAACCCTGTAGTGCATTTACCGGCATAAGCTCCAACGAAAATTGAACACAAAGCTCACAAAACAAGAGCAAATAAACTAACTGGAAACATCTCACGATTTAACTTTATTTCATAGTGTCTATAGCTTGTGACATCGACACTGTTTAACTACAAAAAAGCTTCTCTTTGTCTTTATTGTTCCTTTCGGCGCGTCCATTGATTTTCTAAAATGAAGGAAACCAAACACTGAGGATGAAATTTCATTTCGAAATCAATCCTGTCAAGATTCTTAGAGCTGATCATTCTAAGTGAATAAACTAGACAATGTTAACTTCGATTTCTTTAAGCATGATTAAATTATACTCTACATTTTTACTCTAGTGATATTTTGAGTATGAAGAACGCTGCAAACATTATGAGGCAATCGCTCCCATTCCTTGTGCAAAATCGATTTTTACGTTAAATCATGTCCAACAAATTTAACTGCTTCGATTTCTACGGAGTGCGCAATTAACAAAGATGCAAGTAAGATTAAGATATCTCCACGAAATGACTGATAAACGTTGATGAGATGTCAACAACGTCGTTGTCATATTTTAGGAAAAAGGATTTCATTTTTTGCAAGAATTAAGTGCTAAAATAAAATACACCTATGTTCTCAGGTTTAATTGTATTTGAAAAATTACGATATTTTTAAAGGCGTCTATGCAATGGCTTTAGCTTCCGGTAAGAAACCTTCCCAGTACTTGATCAACTGCAAAAAGCAAAAGAGAAAATAATAATAAATTTATTGATACATGCCGTAAGTGTATGTAAATATTAAAGGCTGTATGTATCTAAGGAGACTGTGGTGCTACGTCGGTGGGAGGTATTACTTTATAATGTGGTTTTAACAACTGAGTTAATAAATAAATGTAAATTGGCACACAGTAAAGAGTTTCTAAGGCTGACGTTTACCCAACTGCCATGCTTGTCCAATAGGCCATCGTCGCATTGTCGAACAAATTACAGGGTCATATAGTGGAAACTGACAAAGCTCTTAATTTTGAACGAGGGAGAAACATTTCACAACAATTTCATCAACCTATTGCGAAAATGCTTTCCACCCAGCCCCTTTTTTCTTTTACTTTTTCTGCAAACAAAAAAGCAAGCAAAGAAACAAACCTGTTGTTGGCTTTCCATCATAGCTTCCAAGTACTTGATCATAGATTCTCGGAAGTCCTTTACTCGGTTTTTCTGTTGACAGAACAATTATTTTAAAGGTTGTTTCTGATTGCTTACAAGTAATAATTTTCAAGTAAAAATGTAAAAAATGTAACGAATTGTAATAACAAAAGTACACGAAACAAAAACATTCCGAACAATGCCATTGTACGTTTTATGAAAAAGGTTTTAAGAAAAAGGTTAATAGAGCTTTTCTATAATTTTTCATTTTGTAAGCGTTGCAACAAATGAGATGACATTCAACTCCCAACAATTAAAGGTTACACCTGGGAACTGAACTGATTTTTTTAGAGTATCACTTTCCATTTCCAAACTCTTTTTGTTTCTTACCTCAAATCGTGCCATCTCCTTCTGTATCGCCTTAGAAATCTTACCAAAATCTTCTTCCCCTTTCTCCACTTTTTGTTCCCACTAAGAAAAAAAAAATACAAAAAAAGAACATACCTAGTTATTATCTAAATAAACAAAAAATACAACTGCAATGAGGGTAACCTGTCAAACTTATCGTTTGGAAACATAACCAACGTATAAGTTACATCAAATGCTGTGTATTGTTGTCACTCGTACTCATATCCACCAGGAACACGACCAGCGCCCAAAGCAGTTTTTGACTAAGAAATGTAAAATGGTTTCTCGATAAGCTGGAAACCACTCCGCTTCGCGTCGTGGTTTCCTACGCTTATCTCGTGTTCTCCCAACCTCCCGCGTGTTTACATCAGGCTATGTAAACACGGAAACCATTTTACATTCCTTTTATAAAATAACTAATGAAAGAGGAACGAAAACCGTGTTTCACACGCTCATGTAAAATGGTTTTATGGCCAATCAGAGCGCGCGTACTATTTGAATTATTTTATAAAACATTTTTGTACCTCTTTCACTTCCTCTTGTGCTTGGGGAAGCTTTTCGTTTTTCGACGCAAGTTCCAACTTGACCAAGGCTTCTCTTTTCTTTGTCAACATCTGCTGTGCGTGTTGCCAGTTACTGTAAGATCGGACACGCTCTTGAAAGCTTGCCTATGGTAACAAAGAAACCCCTTTCAAATATAGTTGTGTCCATAAAGAAAAAAAAGGTTTTGACTTTTGAATTTGAATAAGAAAGTATAATGGCTCGATTCTCATATGCAACTAAACTAAAATTAAAGTAATGGGGAAAAAAAACGTCTGAAAAAGCAAAACGCAACAAGCAAACAAAGCAAAACACACACAATTTTCTGCAATTTCTTTAATCAGGAATCCTTGTGGAGTAAGATGTCCACAAGCTACTCAAATGGCTATGAGTCTTTTGTAGGTCTTTCTTTATTCCCAGCTCTCTTTATCCTTACATGAGTTGTGGTCATCACCAATATACTTCTAGCTTTACAGCTATGTTGATAGCACCCAACTGGTATCTGGGGAAACTTGCTTTCAGCCATGTCAAGCTTGAGATTTTTCACACACCATTTTCTGCAATTTCTTTAATCAAGAACCCTTAAGGAGTAAGCTCTACACAAGGCTTTTGGTAGGTCTTCTTCATTCCCAGTTCATTTTATTGCTTCCCTTGTTTTTGAACCACTAAAGACTTTTTTTATTAAAACTGTAGACATTATAAGGGAAAAAGTAAAAGGAACATATTTCAACATGACATCACTTTCACCAACCTTGACTGCTTGAATCAAACCAATGTAATCTTTCAGCAGTTCAGCCAAAACAAAAAAATCACTGTCCGCCTGAAACAGTAACACACCACACAATCATGAAGGCAGGAATATTTCTTTCTAAATGTTACATTAAGTAATGTGTAAAATACACTGTGAGAGATAATTTAACTTGACTTGATCTAGAGGAGAACGTTCATGCCCTTGAAAACGCCACCAGGTTATTATCAGACAATTAAAGTATCTCTCACAGTACTCACAGTGTTTCCTCAAGATTAATGGCCAATAATGAGTGTCAGCAAATGTAAGCAAAAAAAACAAGCATTATGCAGGTAAGTTTCCTTTAGAGTTTGTCTGCTCCTCTTCAGGTGACAACCAGTAAAATTTAGCACCTGTCGTACCTCTTACTATCACCAAAAATTACTCAGAATTATTGAATTTGAACTGGTAAAAAAAAATGCTTGAACATTTTGGAAAATTTAACTGTCACGCTTAAAATAAGAAAGAACACTGAATGTAATATATGTAATAGTCACTTCAAACATGAAAAACCAATTATGATTTTGCAGGCCAGTAATGAGTTATACATGTACAGTAAGTGCTATCAGACTTACACTGTAACAAGTATTCATAATGTCAACATAACTTCATGTAGTTCAATCAAACTCTCTACCTGCTCCACATGAAGCTGCTCAATCTTCTCTTCAACTTCAGCTAGTTGGGAAAGTGCTCGTGATAATGTAGCATGTTCCTCTGCATTACCTATTAAAACAAAAGAAGTCATTTACACCAAATGATTGGTTTAAAGTCATGCATAGTGTAAATGCATTCTTTAACATAAAATGCAATTCTGTGGAAATCAAAGTGAGCTTGCTCTGCAAGAGCCATTGTCACCATAAGTTTCACCAATAAAAATGTCATTTTATCAAGCCACAAAAAGGTGGACTGAAAATCTCTTGCAAGTTTAGCTGATCAGTGAATAAAAACCATTTTTCATTTACAATGAAATCACTCTGCTGCAATTTAGCTTTTTATAATAACTATAACTACAATAATAAAATTAACACTAATAAATCTAATCAGGGTAACCCCTTCATTCAAGCCACTGCTATCAATATGGGCCCTAAAATACAACATTTTTAGGTAGTTGATTTGTTAACTAAAAATTACAAAAAAATGCTTGTTCAGTTTTTGTTAACCTCTTCACACAATGAACAATGAAAAAAGTCTTTGAAAATGCTTCATTTACACAAAGGTATGCACCTGTGCATTAAATATTTTCCAGCTTAAGGCAGAGTACCACTGAAGAGTAAGCTGACAGCTCCGATTTAAATGTTATCCATAAGCTGACAGTCTCAAATTGAAACTATTTAGGATGGAGATGCTTACAGAACTATTTAAGGATCTCAACCCATAGTTTCAAGGAAACAATTTAATTCTCACATGCAAGACAATGGCAATGGACTAAGTGCTTGATATGCTGCCTCTCTTTTGTCAGACACAGAGGCTGCTCAAAGCTTCCACTTCTAGTAGGAATGTATTTTTGTACAGTGTGCATCAAGGTAACAGCAGTAAAATGAAGTATAATGATCAAAAGTAAAGTTCACTTACTTAGCATAGCAGTAGACTTAGCAAAACCTGCAGTACAAGAGCCCAATTCTGTTGACAAAAATGTTGCTAAACATAAGATACAGCACTTCAATTTACAAGCTTTGTGCTTCTTAAGTAAAGCTGTAAAGAGCTTAACCCTTTAACTCCCATGAGTGACCAAGAAAGAATTTCCCCCAAGTACAATATCAATACAAGAGATATGAATAAAGAAAATATCAATTTGGGGATAATTAGTTGATCCAATACTAAGTTCCCTGAACTAATATTATAAGAATTGTATGTTGACAGTAAGGAGAGTTAAAAATTTGATCTGAGAGTTAAAGGGTTAAAACCAGAAATTCTGGTGGAAAATTGAAGAAGATAAACAAAAGGGATATATTCTCCTCCCAAATCTGTGCGACAAAAATGAGACATTCCAATAAACATTAAACGAATAGAATCAACTATTTTTTTTTCATTTTACCATTAAAAAACCAACCTTTGCGCTGTAATGCTAGTGTTTCCATACTCAGATGAAGTTTCTTTAACTGCTGGTCAAGAGTTTCAATCTGTTGTTGCTTCTCTTCAAACCACTGTTGAAGAAGTTTGACACATTTAATGGCAAAGGAAGGTTGCATTGGAGCCATGTACAAGGACAAGTACACACACAGATGCTGCCAATGACCTTGAGTATTGTGCATTTATTGACTGAGTGTGAGGGCTGGACAGGAAAAAAAATTTGGCTTAAGGTCACCCAGCCCAGCGAGGTCTAAGCATCATAACCACATACCAGGTGAAGAAAAATTTAAAATAAAAACCATAGATTTAAGGGACTTAAGCTTTAACCAGCCCAGCTCATGCTATAATGCACAACTCTGATAGAGGTATTTTTCTCTACGATGTTTATCAGTGAAAGCAGGTGCAGTGCCCTCTGTGTTATAATATGACTACAATTGTGTGATATAACGTTCATTAGCATCACCTGGTCTGATTCAGACATCTTAGTAGTAAGTTGAAACATGGTATCTCCAACTGACTTCACAAATCGTTTCAGACCACCTCCACTGAGCGCTGCAGTGTCTTTAGCTCTGGGTAACTTTGTAGAAAGAGAAACAATTTTCATCAGTGTCACTCAACAAAAGTTTAGTTAAGGTGAAGTCATTAACACAAAAAAACTCAAGGAGCATACAGAGTACATCCACAAAGCACTTAAAAGAATTGCCAGGCTTAAAGAACTATTCAAGAATAGGACATCATACATACCACATCAGCTTCCAAAAATTGTCGGAAATCTGGATCTTCACGTAAGGTTGGATGTCGGGCAACTCTGTTAAGATACCTGGAGAGGAAACATCAATGGATAGTAAAATTAAGTGAAAGATAGAGTGCAAATTATTTTAGTCACAAAAGCTTAAAACAAAGAATTGCTTCCACATTAACCCTTAGAACCCTAAAAGTTGTTAGCCTCTATCTTCTCCTTACAATATCACCCCTGAATCACATATTAAGACCAAGAGAAATGGAAAAGCTCATCAACTTAAAAGGCTCTTGATTTTTAGACAAAGTATCTTTATCAGCACCTTAGGAAATGTACAGAGAACAGTATACTAAGAGAATCTGCATACTGATGTTAGGGTCTACAAGATAAATTCAAAGTAGTCATAGCTGGATAGAATACAACAGTTGATACAAGTAGTTTGAAGAATGAATACCACAACTGAAAAAGGAAAATTAACACTAAAATAGAAAGAAAATAAAAGAAAAGTATATAAATGGGTAAATGAGACATGCAGCTCATGCGTTAACAGCAGCAGTTTAACAAAGCTGGATTGCAACTTTTAGATCTGTATCACAGGCAATTTTCACAAGTAATTTACCTCTCTAAGGCAGCTCTCCTCTTGGAAATAAAGTCAACTGGGGTGCTTTCCTCTCCTTTTCCAAGCTTGACCCTGGTCATGCCTGAAAATAAAATAAATAAATACATCTTAAACTTGTACTTAATCTATAACAAAAGACTATTTTCTCTTGAGCATTGATAAACCATGAAGTTTGTGTAGAAATTAATGGCAAACAGGCAATTTTTTCACAAAGTTTCAGTGATTACTCACCAACAACAGACTTCTCAGGAGCTGGGGGCACAATCTTTCCAAGGTGAAGAAATTTGCTATTTAATCGATCATGGAGTCCTAGAAAATCACTAAATCGACGCTTCACAGATGTCTCTGAATTCTTGAATGTCGGCATACTTGTCTATGGTAAAGTAAGGTCATAAGTTTAAATTTCAAATTTGCATTCATCAAAAATCAAAGCTGCCGTTGGATTTTTTCTATAGCTGTTATCTACCTTGAAATGGTCTCTTTCTAAAGGCAGTAAAATAAGTGTGACAAGAGTGATAAACACATTCATGTACAATATCTTAAGAAAATAGGCAAGTGTCAAGACGTTCTTTAAATCGGCTACAGTCAGTTACTTTTAAAAAGAAGACTAGGGTTGTTGTTAAGTGCAGGCTGCTGGCAAAATTTGTAGGATGAAAAATCTGGCAGGATTTTTTCCCAGTCCAGCCATCACTTACTAATGCACAATGGCATTCTGAGGTTACACACTTATAATTGTTCAATGTCTAACACAAAGTTTAAGCCTGCACCCTAATTTCTAACCTACAACCCTGCAACAAGGTAAAGAATCTCTGATCAGACCTTTGGAAGTAATGAGTGAACAGATCTATATAAATGAAAAAACACAACAGTGCAAGTCAAACAGCAAAAAGGTCATATAATTTTTAACTTACCATTGTTGTCACTTTGAAAACCATATAAGAACCCATGCCATCACCTGCAAAAGTAACATTAAATAGAGGTGTGATATGCTTGCCCCTTTACCTCCCATGAGTTAGTTACCAGTCCAGTTACGAGGATAAATAAATATAGAAATTAAGGAATTATTTGTTGATAAAAATGGTTTGGTAGCCAGTAAGGAGAATTACTAATGAGATGTTGCAAGTTAAAAGGTTAAATTGATGAAAAAGAACTTTTAGAAATATCAACCTGTAGATCTTCAATGGCAGACCTCATTATCACAAGAGGAGTTCTTACAAAAAGTTAAGGATAATAGTGTACAAACAGGTAGCTCCTCTTGAAATAAGTCCTTTTCTTTCATATACCTCTCCTCAAAAGTGGCCATTGAAATAAAGCCTGCTGACTCTAGTTTACTTTTCAGCACATTGTACTGTGGTTTTTCAAACTTTTTTTTTTAAAGGAAGTAAAAAGAATTTAGGGTCACATTTACATGGGATTTGCACTTAATGTACTCAATAACGACTGAATTGCTGCAGTTCAAAATTCTTGGGTAAAAAGTGAAGAACATATTTCACAAACCAGAGCTGCTGATAGTGCTGACTAAAAAACTCCAAACAAAAGAAATGTTGAGAAAACACACCGATCTTTTCAGGATCTGTCACTTTAATATTCATGTCAAAGGTGTCATCCTCCTCGTCTTCTTCAACTTCCTTTTCCTGCAAGGAAAATCAGCATCTCTTGGAAGAAAAATCGTAAATGTTTTCCACTTAAGGTAGAATAAACATCTAATTATTATAGGGTAAACCAGCAACAACTCATTAACAACTTATCCATATATATTTACGCATTTATAATAATACAAAGATACACTTTTGTTTTAAATTCAGTCCTAGACTTTGAGATGATATAATGCGTGAATCGATCAATTAACCGAAAGTAAACTGAGTTGGGTCTAGCTATCTGCCAATTAGACAATTAAAAATGGGAGGGATTGAGAGTAGTCATTCTGAAAATAGATTCAGATAGAGCCCAATAATATAATATCTTCGGTATCTACAACCTCAGGTTTTTCTGTCGGAGCTGGTTCGCTGTCATCCTCGCTCGGTTTCGAGAGGTTGGTGACATCCACGGAAGCCGCCGCAGAAGTTTCGGACTTTTCCTCGCTCCCGCCTGCAGCAAGATCGGACGAACCCTTGTCACTCTCCTCAGGAACAGTGTCTGCCTTGGCTTCCTCGTCATCTAGAGTAATTTCCGTGGTCTCTCCAATAAAGGGATTACCGTTAACTTGCTCGTCCGGGTTGGTCTCTGGCGTCTCAGCTTCATCGTCGAAAAGGGCAGGAGGTTCACGATCATCCGCCATTTTAATTTTCTGGGCAGTCACGTGGGGATTGCCTCGACTTAGGGGAGAGGTGTGTCTAAGGTTGTTCAAGGTGTGCTTTGTAATTTCACTTTTTTCTTTTTTCTCTCGTTTTTTTTCCCCTTCATTTGCCTCCCCTCTTCCATTCTGTCCATTGTATTCTGTTTAACTGAATTCATTCCTCTTATCTGATGCATTCACTATTGATATTTATTTGCCAGTTTGGATAGAATGTTTAAAACAGAATTGACAGCTTCTCTGTTGGTCGCGCATCGCCTTTCACCTTCAGTGGCTCGCTCGACATTTAAAATTTACAGAGGAACTGGTCTTTCATCTTACCAGTCAATATGTCAAGGTTTTTTTAATCAAGATTTCAATTTTAAAAAAAAAATTTCGTCGACAATGATCTACATGTCCTAAAATGACATAACCGTTATGTGAAATCCGACGACTGATTCAAACTACAGGAACTTGAACTTTTCTGATCAAACAATCGCGTAGATGAATGGAGAACTTTCAAGCTTACCTTCCAGCCTGTGTTTGTTATTTCATTTCCAAATCTGCCCTCTCCCAGAAAGTGAAATTATCTCACACAGTCATATACGATCACTATTCATTTATAAACGGACTGATTAAAAACATCAGTAACTACTTAACACTAATTAAAATACTGTTCGATAATAACGTATTTTCAAGATCAAATATATTGAAAGCGAGCATTTACCGACAAGGTGAATAATTCGTTTAACAATAACATAGAGGGTGAAACATGTTTCTCTTATTTCATTTTTTTGAATTTCGAAGTTAATTGCAGCTTTGTACTTCATATTCGTTTATTCGGTTAGGCTAAACCCTAGAATTCTTCTAAAATATCTGGTTTCCTCGGGTCAGTCAGCCAGGTGTTCGCTACTAGATAATTTTTTTACGAACCCAAACCTTTCGGATGTGATATACCCCATAATCAAGAGAAAGGTAATATTCTAAAATACCAGGACAGAGAATCCATCCCATAATTTCCTTTGCTGTAATACATGGGCAAAAACGATTTCTCGTCAAAATAAAGTCCATATTATCTGTAATCTTGTTTATCACACCGTGCCAGCAGCTTCATTTTTGTTTCTTTGTTTGTTTCTTTCCAAAAACACTTTGGGTAGTTTAGTAGAAACTACATTTTAGGGGCAGGGGGACCACATCAATTTATTTTCTCGAACTTCCGCCGTAAAAACTCTGGGGTATTCCTCAGAACTATTGAAACCTTCTACACGGATACGATCTGCAATGGTATCTTGATATAAGCAAAGGCTGTAGTCACTCAGGTGGTAAACAACATCTCCAGACTGACAATATAAGAACATTTTAATCTAATGGAGAGGGAGTGTTGACTCAGCAGACCACAGGTATTTATTGCGGTCAGAAGCATTATAATGAATTATACACGGTTTACATAAAATAATATATATATTTTTATTTTCAAAAATCATGATGCCTTTAATATATGCTTTGTATAAATTTGAAAGATAATATAAATGGTCCATATCGAATTTCTATATACATCATTTATACTCTAACTTGCTTTCCACCTAGAACTCGTCTATGAATAGCATCGAATATCTTCAATAAATCAGGGTAAGTCAAAACAATTATTTCAGTCGACAGGTGCAACACATAAGCTCTTTTATATTTGCGGAAAGTCAGTGGAAGTAAAAACTAAAAGATCTATTCTTTGGTCATTAAAAAAAATTGTGGATGAATATTAAGGACAATTGAAGAGACCTTATTGATACCCCATGGTAATCAAAATAACGAGTCGGAAAGGTTATCATAATCGACAGAGCTTTCCAATTCGCTCTGGTTTGAGTCCTCAAAACGAGACCGCAGTCTAATGGTCGCATTGTTTATTACGTCTTGTCGAATTTTCCAATACGGTGGACACGAGCTGCCGTAGATTTCCACTTGAGTATGTCCTTCGGGAATAACAAGACCCAAAGCGAAGTATTCATCCAGAAAGCTTGCATGCTCGAGATAATAGCGAAATAGCACTTGCGCCGTTTCCGCGTGCGAAATGACAAAGAAAAAAAGCTTAACAATTGTGTCATCGTCTTCATTTACCATTACCGGCTTAAATATTGCCCTCCTGTCAGAAGGAAAGGTCCCATTTGAGTGATCTCTCTTCCAAATGCGTTTATTCTTGCAGCTTCGAAGAATTTGTCTCCAAGAACATTTCTCAGTCGCATAATTTCCTTGACAACTCTTTCCGCGTCGTGTTGTTTAGGATCTATTGTCATACGACTCATTTCAATTGTAGCTGCATCTAAAACGCTGATGACTTTTAATCGGTAGTTTTCAAGTTCTGTTCTGGATGTACATCGGCGAATTTTCTGTCTCAAACCTTGAGCATGCTCAAGTTTTAGTAAAAGGGTTTCCAGTTTCGGATCGGTGTCGACGTCAATTTCCCGGCCACGATCTGTTGACGTGGCATGATCATCCTGTATATAGCCTTTTGGTCTCGAACTTTCGTTCAGTAATGGAGTGATATCGAGATCTAGATCTTCATCTGCGGACCACTGGTGGCATTCTTTGGTAGGAAAGCAACCCATCTCTTCATTTGTAGACCTGTGATTTTCAGTTTTCAGAAGTAGAAAGCACCTTATCAAAACTCATTCGCCAATCCCAGTGTCACGTTTGGTTCTATGACGTTGTAACAAACACAAGGAAGCTTGATGTGACCTGATGCGTAAAATTAATGTGGGAAAGAAAATGCAAATATGCGCCTGAACAACTGAAACGAAAATACAATAGCGCAAAATCCCAAGAGCTTTCATTTCCTATTGAAACAGTTTAATCGTTGATGTAAATAAACAGCAAAAGAGTAACTGCATATCACCCGTGCGTAAGAGCTAGATCAGTAATGATGTGTTAAAAAGTCAAAACTTTTGCAAATGCAATATACTATAAGTATTTACTCAATAGAACTCACGGTAAAGCTTTAAGAACTTTATCTACGAGTTATGAAAACCTTTATTTACAAAGTGGAGCACAGGAACAATGTTAAAGAGTCTAAACGCTGCATACATAACAATCCTTAATATTATGTGGGAAAAGTGACGTTTCAAATCATTTGGGCAACACACGCGGTTCTTCCACACCAAAGCAACTTTGACGTCAACTGATGTGAATAACGCGAACGTTTGTCTTTTAAAAATGTTTTGCTTTTCAGGCTATATCGGTTTAATTAATTTTGCTTGTTACGTCACGAAACAAGCTTAAAAATTCCGAAGCGAATGTTTTGAATGATTTGCTTTCGACCATCACAGGTTTCGTTAAAATTAAAACTTTTCACACAAAAATATTGTAAATATAGTTAACTGAAACCTATCAAGTCCCAAAATTTCGAGATTGATTGTCTCGTTTGTGAGTAGGAAAGTAAGTGAGTTTGACCATTCGCTTGCAAAAATTACAGGGGGGGAGGGGGGGGGCGGAGGAGAAGAGCGGATGGAGCCCTACTCACGAGTTAGCACTGGCAATGATAAAAAAAAGTAAAAAACAATAATGAAAACAAGTTAGAAATAAGGTAAAGGAATGAAAAAGCCAAATTCAACTCCTGCGAAGATTTCTCACTCTTACTAGTATTCACAATTGTAGGCGTCTGGTGCTCTTGCAAGATTGAGATTGAAATCTTTTACTGAATTCTGAAGAGCCTTGCGAAAGAATGGAATGGAGACTTTTCCTGTTTTTGGCACAGAAAAGATGGATTTGAACGCGTAAAAACAACTTCCACATCAAATTTGGACCAGAACTGACGAAGATAAGAGGAATCGTGTGACGGTTTCAATGAGGCTCTAAGCTACTGTTCACAAAAATTAGCCTGGAAGCTTATTTTCCATACAGTAACTTAAACTACCATATCAGTATAATTTTACTAAAGGCAATGGTTGCTATATTAGAGGAAAGGTTTGAGCAGGTACCAGAGAACATGAATTGACGGAATAGAAAGGCTGTTAACTTTTTTTTCTTAATGGCACGCACTGATTCCGACAAACAGATTATGATTTGCCTGCAAATCTGCCTCGCTCTCAACGTGTGGTTTCGTAGCTCAGTTGGTAGTGGAGCCCAACTAGTATCTGTGAGATTCGAATCCCGTCGAAGCCTGAATTTTTCAGACACCTTTTCTGCAATTGCTTAAATTGCAGTTCACCTGAGAGAATATTTTTCTTTACTAAACTCTAAACTCTTGGTATAATTATTTTTCTGAGCCGTAGGGGTTCTTTTTTTTGTTTCGTTTTGTGTTTCCTTTTGAGTTCGTTTTGCTTTGTTTATGTATTTCGCCTTTCTTCCGCCAAACTCACAGTAACGAATGATGAACTCACGGAACCTTATCATAAATATTTACACAAATCGTATTGCACTGCTTGATATCAATTCAAGTGACACTCTAGTTCTTCAAACCAAATTCAAAACTGCAGTTCGGGATGAAAAATCATTACTACCGAGAAAGGGATAAATATGCTATGTGTCATAAGGCGGGCTGAAAGTACGAGAATGTGAATTATTCCTACCGTTGTAACATTTTTGTTTTTCTGTGTAAGATTTTCATCTTGAAGTGAATGTAGTTAGAAGAATTGAGTACATGTATTGATAAATATTTTCCTTCAAACGGGAGGAGTACAGGTCGATCACTTAAAGTGTTATGTACTTTTTCGCCTTAAGCATCAAAATCATTAAGGTATTGGGGATAAAAATAATCAACATCAAACTAAATCAATATACTTTAATGCTGGAAAAGATATGATGCGGGAACAAATTGAAAAATATAATCAGATTAGCTACCTCGGGATTTTTCCATAGTCTTGGAGCATCACATACTCATTTTTTTTTCTGAGCGAACGAAGTTTACTCCAAAGTAATCAAAGTCAAAAATGAACGCAGCACTCGTATTTGTCTAATCTGGGCGATAATATCAGCATCTAATGAGCTAAGTAAAGTATTGAATACTTTGCGAATTCTGAAA